CAAATAGAGATAGATGACTTTATGACTTAGGGATGTTTGTAAAACTTGGCCACTTCATTTGTTGAAAAATTGAATGAACTTGATGATGAATGATACTTGAACTCGCCTTTCAAACTTTGAATGACACTTTGAAGTTTTGAACTTGACAAGGATATTAAACTCTTGATTGAAAGTTAACTTGCAAAGTAAATTATGAATCTTGAATTAACACATTGCCCTACTTTTGAAAAGAACCTTGAAGGAATTTTGCACCATTTGAATATGATGGAATGTGATTTGAATTGGAATTGAACTTTGAATAAAGCATTGGAAATTGAAAGAAATTGAAATTTCCCCTTGAAGTATATTGATGAAGATGACCTCATAAAAATGATAACCTCAATCTATGAGAAAAACCCTAATGGCAAGAACTCTTTGATTCCATGTCTTGGAAGTTTAAAATGAATGAATGATTTATGATGTAATTGCATATGATATTACTAATGAACATATTAGGGGTAAAAATGGGGTATGACAATGGACATTCATAATCATTCCATTTAAAACACTCCTTCTTAGATGTCCATAAAGAAAATACAATATTCTTTGTGAGGGAACTACCTCTTTATGTTTGTTCAGGACGTTAAAACCTGTGGGGAAAAGAGTACATATCCTTTTAAGAAAAGTTTATTTCTCCCCCTCAGTTGAGCGAATTCAGTTCTCCCCCTCAGCTGAACAAATGGACAAATTTTGTGTGTGTTGAGTTTGGGATCTCAACCAAACGCGTTTCTGACTTGCCTCAGCTAGTGCTAAAAATTTCTTCATAATTAATGAAGTTGATGTTGTGATTTGTTTCACATGTCTCCATGAAATAGTTGTAACATTATGAGAATTTAACAAACAAATAATTTGTGCAATATACTATTATGAGGATTTGACAAGTGACTTATTTCTTAATAATTTGTTAATTATAATTTGGATACTTTAGAATAAATCAAACTCATGTCTATTTATCCTTAAGATAACAAAGTATATGTTGGACTCTGTTAAAATGTTTTCGTGTAGCTAAAGAACTATATCTTATTAATAGAGTAATAGAAATTGATATATCGAGATCTGTATAATTAGGAAGATAGATCAGTGCTTGAATTACACTGAGATATGGTACTTCAGGATCAATTAGTTTTCATATCTTCTTGAGGTCTAAAAGAATCTTCTACATGTCCAACGATCTAACATCATCGGGGTACACGACATACGAGATTTGTCCATATACAAATGTTTTAGCACTTATGCTACATAACATATGATATTTGTCCATATAGAAATATTTTTAATACTTTTCCATATAACATTTTTGGTGTATGAAAGTTCCATTGTCTAAATGTTCATTTAGTGAGGACTTTTTATTTTCCAAGTCGGTCATCTCAAATAATTTCTTTATATAATTTATAGCTTTTGAAAACTCTTTAGTAGTTCCAATAATATTTATGTCATTCACATAGACAACTATTATTGCAAATTCTTTTCCAAACCTTTTTTGTAAAAATATAAGGACATATGGAGTTATTTGTATATCTCTACCTTAGTAAATATTTACCGAGACGATTATACCACATGTGTCATATTGTTTTAGCCTATACAGACACTTGTTCAATTTTATGTCCATATCAAGTGACCCATACAAATAAGATGTTACAATATCTATCTTGTTCAAATTAAGTCCTTCATGCGCTACAAGACTAATTAATTATCAAAACTTAATAGAATCCACTACAGGTGGATATGTTTCATCAAACTCGATCCTAGGTCTTTGTGAAAATCATTGAGAAAAACATCAAGCTTTATATCTTACAATTTCACCCTTCTTATTTTACTTTTCACAAAAACTCATTTATATCAAATTGATTTCACACCTCTAGGTATTCGGACTACGCGTCCAAAAACGATTCTCTTTTAAAGTGGGTTCAATTATTCTTCAATTGAATCTACTTATTTTAGTCAATTTTCACTTTGTCTATAATCTTGGATACACTTTGATTCATGTTCTGTTCATTTTGTCCAATTCTCACATTTTCTATAACCTTTGACAGACTTTGATTCATGATTTGTTCATTTTTGACCAATTCTCACTTTGTCTACAATCTTTGATAGACTTTATTTCACGATCCTCGTTATCGTTTATCATCTTTAGCGCTATACTATATACAAATACATTGCTAATTTCGACTTTATTTGGTTATCTTAATTTCAGTTCCATTCTATTTCATCTATGACATAATTTATCGAGATCTCTTTATTTCATATTTCAAGTATTTGATTAGTTCTTCTGGAACTGAAAAATAAATTATGTCAAAGTGCTCTTTGAATTTTCATATCCTCACTTGGGTCATCTTAACTTTAATTTCTTTTCTTAGTAGAGAACTTTTAACATTGGAACCGACTTTTCTACCATGTTTCAGGCATGACTACAACTCATTTACAATATTAGATTGTCCAATAGGAAAATCTACTTTGAATGGAGTATTAGCCGCTGATAATTTGTTTCATATACTTTACAAATGAATTGTATTTTAAACTTCGAGGATCTAATAATATAGTAATATTTTATTTCAAATTATTCATTTGAATTTCTGGTTCACACTTTGACCTGTTTATTCTCTCCCCTTAATATTGGAAAAAATTAATTTATCAATTGATAATCAACCTACTGGGCTTCAAGCATATATCCAATTATCGGACCAAGATAAACCTCAAATATGATATTCATATAAAATGAATTTTCTCAACATTCTTTCAAAACTCATCTTAGCGTACTATACTGGAGCAATTGAATTATACACGACACATTCAAAAGTTTACTTAGATGAGAAGTAATAGGTTATTAACCTAAAATAATTTGTAAGTTAATGGGAGAATTAACATATAATAACTTGTTGACTTAATGCGAATAAATATATGAATATTCATGGTTGTGTGTTTCCAATGTATAATTTATAACAATAATCTCATATATATTGGCTATGTAATTAACTTTAGACGTCTAACGAATGGATCTTTAAGTCCATTTTTTTTGAACATATGGTATAAGATTTTCAATATCAAGAAAATTTTCAAAATTTCAAAAATTGAGATCTTAGTATGAGAAAATAACTTCACAAACTTCTGATTGTGAGTAGACAATAAATATTTACATGATATTTTAGTCGATGCAATAATTAATGTAATGAAAAACTCAATTTCTTAGAATTTTATTTTCATTTAAAAATATATAAAATTTATTGGATTGAAGAAACTTCTGATTCTTCAATAGTAGTTTTCACATCATAATACATATTCATGATCTTTTAGTTGAGAAAACAACTTCACAAACTTCTGGTTGTGAGTAGAAAACAAACATATGCATTATCTTTTAGTCGATACAACAATTAATATCGTAAAATGTTTAAATCGTCTACATGATTGGTGTATTGATTCACAAATATCACCTTACATATGTTATATAAAAACTCAACTTATAAAATTTAAATTTTCTTTAGGAACATACAAAACTTATTGGATTGAAGAAACTCCAGATTCTTTAATATTAATTTTCACATCATAATACATTCGAGATGACCCAACCAATTTTGCCAACAACACACTTAAGTGTGATTTGTAAACTTCTGATTTGCAATAATACATATATGTATTTTAATTATTCTAAATTGTTTGAATCAACCATATTATTCTCTAATAAATAAATCTTCATAAACCATGCATACATATTTTTGTTTGATTTAATTGTTATAAATTAAATCTAAATTTATTTCATAATAATATTGTCCAGGTCACACACATTTAGGACTCTATACAAATCAATTTTATTTTATCATAAAAATTAAATAAATTTCATACAAATATAGAAACCACATTACTACTAATTGAGCGTGATAGTCAATAGAGAATGAGCCAAAGTAATGAGATTGTATTCCTTAGTTACTATAAGCTATTATTATATAATATAAAAAAAAAACATAATATCATTAAAATTGTTGCACCAAATGAGATTAATTAAGCAATATAAAACTATCTTAAAATATCAAACATACTTTAATATTTGAAAAAACTTTCTTAATTTAGAAATTTAATAGCAACAATAAAATACATAACATTGACTAATTGATACATAAATATATTAAGTGATATATTATATATATAATCATATTTCTTCTAGTAAAATATTTGACTTACTATAAGCATTGATATAAAATTGAGAATTATGCACCTTTACGAGAGACACACCACATATTCACCCAAAATCTTAAGGTGGTAGGTGAGTGGGTTCTCTCAGTTATATATTCTTAAGTCACCATATTTTTATTCAATGTGAGACTATTTTTCCACTTACTCACACTTGCATTATTATTCTAACACTCTAATTCAAGAGTGAGTCCATAATATTCCCCCACTTGACACTTGTATCGTCGTTACCTCTTCTTGAACAACGAGACACATCTTCTTGTATTTCAATACAAGTAAGCCGATCTTTTTTTCTCGAACCAAAAACTCATGATATCATTTGTTGAGAAAAATTACTAGAAAAAGTGTATATTAATAGGATATAGTTGTTTGCATTGGTGTTCAAATAATATTTTTGTTAAAAAAATGGTGTGAGGACAAAATCTCATGTATTCCGAAAATTTTAGATATATTTTAGGTGGTTCACTTTTTCTTTTTTTTTGCTAAAAATTACAATAAATTAACAAAGTTCAACCTTTCAGTTATTTTAATAGATTTAATGATGATATATAGTGAGAGATTTAATGAAAAGAAAAAGGTAAAGGACAAAATAGTTTATAGAAACATAGTTAACAGAAGGAGTTGTTAACAAAAGCGACAAATGAAAGTTTTGTTCCAACAAAATGATGAACAATGTTTCTCATCGGATCTGAATATTCCACATTATACGCCAATTGCTGAAACCATATAATTAATATAAATAATAAATACTCGAGATTGCATCAAATCGTGACAACAAAATGGTTCTTTTTCAAGGATTATTACTACTGCTAGGTTTGGTTTTGAATTTGTTGTTTCTGTGTAATGGAGGCACAACTAGTAGTTTTATTAGAAACGTTGAGAAGACCGTTGATATGCCACTTGATAGCGATGTTTTTCGTGTTCCTTCTGGTTATAATGCTCCGCAACAGGTATACTTTTCTTACTTTGGTTCCAAGTTTGATGTGATTTCAATGATGATGAGACCAAACAAAGAGTTATTGATTTTTTGTGTCTTTTGTTGTTTAAGTCTCAATGTTTTAATCTATGATTGGTTTGAATGTTTGAATGAAGGTTCATATAACACAAGGTGATCATGTGGGGAAAGCAGTGATCGTGTCGTGGGTGACCGTGGATGAACCGGGGTCGAATGCAGTGCAATACTGGAGTGCGAATTGCAAGCATAAGAAGTTAGCTGAAGGGAAAGTTGTAACTTATAGATACTTCAATTACACATCTGGTTTTATTCATCATGCTACTATAAGGAATTTGAAGGTACTTCTCTATTCGGTTGCTTCAGTTTCATGATCTTGAGATTAACAAATTGAAAAAAAGCATGAAAAATATTATAGTGACATTTGAGATTTATTGTTGTTGTAATGGTTGATATTTGTGCAGTATGATACAAAATATTATTACGAGGTTGGAGTTGAAAATACAACAAGGAAGTTTTGGTTTACAACTCCTCCTCAAGTTGGTCCTGATGTTCCATACACATTTGGTCTTATAGGTAAAATGTATTCTATCAAACTCAATGTGATCTTATAGAAGTTTAGAAATTTTGCAATGTCTTGTGTTCCTGTAGGCCAATATGTTTGTTACTAACTGAGGTGGCATCGTTTGCAGGGGATCTTGGTCAGAGCTTTGATTCAAACAGGACACTTTCTCACTATGAATTGAAGTCAACAAAAGGACAAACAGTGTTGTTTGTTGGAGATCTTTCTTATGCAGATAATTACCCGAATCATGACAATGTTAGGTGGGATACTTGGGGAAGGTTTGCAGAGAGGAGTGTTGCTTATCAACCGTGGATATGGACTGTCGGAAACCATGAACTTGATTATGCTCCAGAAATCGTAAGCTTTCTACATTTGTGTAGAGAATTTTACAAGTCTAAGTTTTGATATTGATTAGCATGGATTGATGATGGTTTGCAGGGTGAAACCGAGCCATTCAAGCCATTTTCGCACCGATACCGTACTCCTTATAAAGCATCAAACAGTACTTCACCCTTTTGGTATTCTATCAAAAGAGCTTCAGCACACATCATTGTCTTGGCCTCATATTCGGCATACGGTATTGCTTGATTTCTCTAATGCTTCAGACATACATATGCTAAAAACACAGCTGATTCTATGATTTCCAATGGAATCATTTTTCTCAGGAACATATACACCGCAATACCAATGGCTGGAAGAAGAGCTACCGAAAGTTAACAGGAAAGAAACTCCTTGGTTGATTGTTCTCATGCATTCACCTTGGTATAATAGCAACACTTATCATTACATGGAAGGCGAAACAATGAGAGTAATGTTTGAGTCATGGTTTGTTAAGTACAAGGTTGATGTTGTGTTTGCTGGTCATGTACATGCCTATGAAAGATCTGTAAGTACTAACATACTTGTCATATCCAATTATCCAAAATAGATTTATGATTTATTTCCGTGATTTGTTCAGGAACGTGTCTCGAATATTGCATATAATATTACAAATGGTATTTGCACTCCTAAAAAAGATGAAAACGCTCCGGTATACATAAACATTGGAGATGGAGGGAACATTGAAGGCTTAGCAACCATGTAAGCTTGCTCCATACATGAATCTTTTTTACTCTTACAAACTACTCGCGCGTGTTTTCTAGTTATAAGTCTGATATGAACATGATTTGAGCTGCAGTTATACAGAGCCACAGCCAGATTACTCGGCATTCCGAGAAGCTAGTTTTGGACATGCTATTTTTGACATAAAGAACAGAACACATGCTTACTATACCTGGCACAGAAATCAAGACGGTGAAGCTGTTGAGAGTGATCCCAATTGGTTTCTCAACAGATTTTGGAAGCCAGATGATGTTTCCCATTAGCACATTGATTTACTGGTTTTTTTCAGATGAATAGTCGATGACATGTTCAATAAAGTCGTGATTTTGAAAGCATCTTGTGTTAGGTGTAACTTTTTTTGCAATATATAAAGCCAGCCTCCTATTTTGGTGCGACTTTTTAACTTACGAATTGTATCCTTTAGTTGTTGTTTTTCGTAGGACTAATTTCTGTGGAATGGTATGAAATGCAAAAACATGATTTGTTTGAAATTTCATAATGATGTCTGGGGTTTATGGAACTCGGAATGTGTCTGTAATATTATTATTCCGCCAGACCGAAACGGTAATTTAGTTAGCGGCAGTTTATGCCAACAACTCCTATCCTATCTTTGAAGAAGAGATCTTTGAGCTTCTTTGAGTCACCTGCAAGATAATTAGAGAGGCCCTTGGAGCGCATGAATGAAAGGGGGATAGACCACCTAATCATATATCCTGCAGATATTTCTTGCTATGGACCAATGCCTATATCAACTAATGCACCTGGATATTGAAGGGATGCAACTTACTTTGAATAATAGGAGATCGTGGCTCTTAGACTAGACGGGTCAATATGCAATGACATTATTGAGATACCATTGTCAGGTATTATTGAGACCACCATCCAGTAATCATGAATAAGAAATTAGGAGAAGCGTCTGTCACTATCCGTTCCAATTCTACAAGACATGGTCGGCTCATGAGGATTGCATTAGAGTTATTGTTGATATTTGGGTGATGCAAGCTAAAGGTAATCCAATGAGGAGAATAACGTTCAAACTTCAAAGGCTAAAGTATTCTCTTCAGCTATGGAATAAGACCAAATTCGCTAACATTGACAAACAAGGTTACAGTTCCTTTTCGGAACAAGCAATGGTGATGATTGCGGAAACTGTGGTGGAACGGAGCTTCCGATGAACTATGTTGTCGTGACACCATAGATCGAAGGTTAGATTACGGTACTTCTTGATCAGAGGTATCATACTTGATGCAGTGCCGTTAACTAGTGTTGCTATCTCCGATGTGGTGGATCTAAGGGGCTACCGACATGGTTAGTACTCCAACACTCAAGTCAGTTTAGGGTTCAAGATATTGGTAGAGAAAATGGAGATTAGAGATTATGTATCTTAGAACCCTTTACGAAGGTATTTATACCTTTGGCCTAGCGGAGTAAGCTAGATAATGGGTCTCGTGCTATTGAGGCCTTTGGTCGGTGCATAGCAGTGGGTCCCGGGTCTTTGGCTATCACATAATAGTTTCCCATAAGACTCGTCGGACATGTTTGATGTTGGGGGAGTCTTTCAAAAATTGTGGCGGCCTTAAAGGAATTGTATTTAGGCGTCGGTTGGCATGTGTTGCTTTGGTTAAGTCAAAGTGTGATGCGAGTGTGAACATTAAATGCAATCCCCGTCACCGAAACATTTTGTCTTTTGTTAACATGTAACCTGAAAAAGTATGGGATGACGTGACACATCTTTGTGTACTCGAGTACACTTGAGTGCAGTTGTCTTCTCTAGGTGAAATCTGACCTTCGATTTGTCTTTATTTGTTGCTTTCGATCTAATCCGTTTGATCTCCTTTGCATATATAAAGATAAATAGAGAATCACGGAGAAACTTTTTAGCCTTCTCGTAGACTGAGTTTCCCTTGTCTCTTTGAGTTTTCCCCTCTTTTCTGAGGGCACTTCGTAGAGTAAGCGTCGTCGCACGTTCATAACTTTAAAGCATTAAAGCTTTGGTTTTTCATATTCCTCCCTCGTTTTAGCGTCTTCACCTTCCTATTTCAAGGTATATTCTCTTATCCTCAGCTTTTACTCAAGTTTTTATCGCATTTTCATTACGATGAGTGGTAACCATATTATCGTGGAAAGTAACTCGGAGGGTAGTGTTTCTTCATCTTCGAAAAGGGGAATGGAGTTAGAATTGCATTCCTTCCCCTCTATCAGTGGGGATTTTGAATCAGGAATCATCATTTTGAGTGATGATTCGAAGATGGAAAAGTCGTATCGAGAATCTTTGTCAGATGAAGCTTTTTCCATCAATACTTCAGAATCTTTGTTTCTTGTGAAGTCTGACAGAGGTGAAAACCTTGCCGAGGGACCGATGTATCCTCGTGTTTTGACCGAGGCAAAAATAGTGGCTTCCCTTCAAAGGAAGGAACATGTCAGTCGCTTTGTCCAAACATATCGAGAATCAATTGGTTATGACCCTAGTGACGCTGAAATTTCTCGTCATATAGAGTGACAAGGACGGTAGGTTATTGTGTCCTAGGTCAATCCCAATGATCATCATAGGGCCAATGCGTTGGCTCGTAAGGATATTCGGTTAATAGAGTCGGCAAATGAGAGTAGGTATCATTGGGTGGCTTCTGAAATAGTTGGAACTCTTTCTGTTCTAAACACTATTAAAGTTTTAACCCAGGCCAACATCAAAGTTGACAATTCTTTGGATTGGGCAATTCTGCCAGTAGGTCCAGATGAGAGGGTATGCATAGTGTCTCTTAACCAGGTTGAGGATACATCTACCCTCATCTAATTTTGATGCGGCCGTAATGAACCATCTAAAATTTGCCCCCTCGTAGCTTCATCTTGGAGTTTGGGTCTTCAAGGCGGTGTTTCAATTTTGTGTCGGGTACAAGTCTTGGAAACCTTCATTAGGGATCTTCTTTGACCTCTTCTTCGTGGCTTGTACTCTGCTAGATGATGCTCGGGATCAAGGATTAATCTTCTTTTGTCCCCAAGTACATTGGTTCGAATCTTTCGCTTATGACCGTGGCGACTTTCTAGGGCGTTTCGTATTGGTAAAATCTGTCACTTCTGAGGCGCATATAGCCTTTTGCTCGTCTTCAGCTTCGGTGGGGAAAACTCTTTCTTGCAGAGGTGGTTTTCAAAAATATTAGTCCAGAGTTCATTTTTACCAGCCTATCCCTTCTTATCATTCTAGGTTGACTTCTCCGTCTCCCGATGAAGTGAAAATGAAAGAGGATTTTCATGCACGATATCAAGGACTCAGATATGAAGAAGAGTTTGGTCTTGACGAAGTGCTTTCTTTTCATCAAAAGAAAAGGCAGATAGATGCCCACATGATCATTAGTGTGTCTTAATATTTTAAGAGACAAAAACTCTTTGGTAAGGATGAGAATTCAAGTGCCTTTTTTTAACCATGCTACTTGTGTTTTTTTAGATAACATGAATCAATTGAGTCAGCTATGAAAAGCTCAGACACCTGTGAATGATTAAGGCCTTACTAATGGTTTTTCTGTCCCAGTGCCAACGACACCTATTCACTGCAAGAAAACGACACTTTAGCGTCGTCCTAAAACTGTCGCTAACAGGCCAAAAATCGATGTTAACGACCTTTAGCGCCGGCTACATGTCGGTGTTAGGGAGGTCACTTCAAGCCTCAAAGCTAACAGTAGCTTGAGGCTGGCGCTAAACTAGTGACGGCTATGATCAACGCTAGGAAGACACTATCCATGGGCTATAAGTCTACACTAATACAACTTTAGCGCCGATTTATGGCAACGCGAACGTATGACACATGGTTGTATTTTTTTATTAGGTTCCCCTTAACTCATAACATTACACGTCATCAATAGCGCCGGCTTTATACGCCGCTACGGACGCCGCGTGTTCGCTTATAAGAGGATATCGCCCAGAACAAGGTTTTGTCTTTCAAAAATTAGTGTCGGTTGAAGCCAATGCTAATGTTTTTTTTTTGTCAAACCAATTTTGATTACATCTATAAATTATAAAATATGTCAAACTAATTTTGATTACGCCTATAAATTATAAAATATGATACAATACTATTAGTAAACATAATTTATCTATTTTGAAATAAAAGTAATAAATTGTCAAGTACACCAATAAATTGTAAAATATGATACAATACTCATAAATCTTCATAGTCATACAATACTTATAACACAACCTTATAATCAAACGAGTTTACTTATACATGTCAAGGTGTACCAAAATAATAGTATACTTATAAATCAAACTAGACATAAGGCAATCATAAGACAATCTAGACATAAATCAACTCTACTGATCACGATGATCATCAACATCAGCATCATCTTCCTCATTCTCCAGCAACATTTAAAAAACAATGTAGTAGGAGTCCAGATGCAATGAAAAACTATTGTTTCTATTTATGTGCAACCTCTATATCTGTATGAAGATTATATCTTGTTTTTCTGTGAAATTATTTTGTCTCTCTAACTATAGTTTTGTACAAAACACATAGAGAATCCAATTTCAGCATAAAAGGTGTAGCCAAAAAACCTTTGTTCAAAACAGAGGAAGCATCATCACGAATATAAAAGTACCCGATGCAAATAAGTCACCTTAGTATGCCAAAACGAGTCCAGATGCAAAAAGAGAGAGAGAAATGAAAGTTAAAGGAGTAATAAAAGTGCTGAAACGTTATAATGAGAATGTTCACTCGAAGGAGCACTACAAGGACCCGCCTGAAGAGACTGATAGATATCAAACATTTACCTAAATTCTTCAAATTGCTTTGCCAATTCATCTATCCGCGCATTAGCTCGTGCATCCTCTTCATGTGCAGCAGCAACTTCAGCTCTGGCAACCTCAATGGCTTGGCTATCTGCTTCTCTATTGGGGTGTGTAATTGACACTTGTGTCAAGAAGCTCACTCCATGTTTTACCTCCGGTAGCTTCTTTTCACATTTGTATTCTTATTGTTCCATCTACATCATCACCGGTTTGCGTGACTTGTGTAAGACTAGTGACGTATGTGTTCTATGCAACATAAGATTAATGTGTCAAATCTGAAACTATATGTAGTAGTATAAAACATACATTCAATCATCATAACCATACAAGTCTACTAGCAAAAGTAATTAACAACTTTATTGATAGGATTCACATAGCCATTACACTATCAAAAGTAGCATTGATGCATTAGGGTTTCTTAATGCAGTAAGAGTTGCATTTCAGAATAACAACATGGAAAAGTATGATCAATTTTTAAAAGTATTAAAAGATTGTGGAGCTATTGGTATCATACATGACCAGCAAGGATATGCAAAATCAGCAGAAGATGATGTAGCCAGCTGGTATATATTTTGGAACCTAGCCATCTTTTTAGACTGCTATCATTGTTTTCTTGCATGCTAATAATAATAACAATACAAGTAAACCTTGGTTATGATGAGTGAAATGAAATCAGAGTGTAAAGGGTAATTACCTAACTTGTAAGCTTTAATGCTTACTCATTAAGCAATTGTCACTTATCTTTTGTCTATTTGTATGGCTTTGAATATCATCGACATGATAATTATAAATTCATAGTATGCATAATAGCCATATGATTTTGGCCCATCTGTTGTACTATACCACTACATTAGCCATGTGTTTCTCAGTCTCAACTAACCCTTTGTATGTTTTTATATGCACTAAAATATTGACTCTATTTTTCATAAAAAAGTAAATAACAATAAAGATCATTTGTCTCTGTTTCTCTCGACTATATTTATTATTTATTATTACTATTATTATTAAATAATGACAGTTACGCTCTTATATAGTGTTAAACGATAATTTACACGAATATGTCTAACTATTTTTACTTTGAATTTCTTAACTATAGGACTATCATTGTAATTACTTAGATGAATTGTAATGAATGTGCTTTGAAATTTTACAGGGATGGATTTGGAATGTGGAACTTATTTGACAGACCATGCAAAATCAGCAGTGCAGTAGAAGAAGTTAATAGACCGCGCTCTTCACAACCGGTTATCCAGGAAAAACTAACTTATTGTCTTCTTTCTATCATATTGTGGTTGTATTAACATACAAGTCTGCTAGCAAAAGTAATTAACAAAAAAAAAACTGAAAGTAGAATAAAACCTATCTATGTTACTTGCTAGAATCCATTACACTACATGTATCCATTAGTCATTACAGAAAAACAACTTCTAAATGTTCTATCCCCAAATGTGGCATTCATCTCTCAGCTTCTAAATTTCTGCAAGAAGTTTGCAACATGTATTTAACTACCTTGTATTTGAAGGATAGCTTTCTGTTTCTCAATTTCATCAAGTTCATTCACTCTCTCAAAACAGTCACATTCTCACGAAAACAATCACATTCTCACGAAAACAGTGGCATTCTGTACTTGTATAAAGTCAACATGCTATTGTTTTGGTGTTACTGTTTGGGGGATGGTTAATCAACTTTCAACTTGTCAAATTATATGAAGTTTTTGTTGATTATATTTTTCTTAACATTTGGCCATGAGATGATGATTTCAAATAGCTAAAGAGCTGAATATGCAGAGATTAATGTTGTGCACTCCATGTCCATTTTGAATTTAGTTTCAATAACGGTTTTACCGAATGGGAATGGGTAATCATGAACTACTAGCAGATAATTAACAACCATAAACTTAAGGAATTTACATGTGTTGTCGCTGCACGCTCGTCAACCCACTCCCCATTCTTCTTTTTATGGGTGACAATGAAGATCTTATCCGGATGTGCGGGTCACTTGAGTTTATTAGCCTATAATTAAAGACAATATATATAGTCACAATGTATATTGAATATAATTATATTAACGCATTTTAATTACAAATATAATACATATCAATTCAAGTGCAACACGGTAAGCTATACAACCTGACATATGGACTGCCCCACCTATGCTTGATGATCGATTAATCTTATTTTGTTGGAAGACATCTTTAAACTCTTTTGACCGCCACTTGTCAAGAAGAACCGCCCATGTATCTTCACCCATCCAAGGCGGACTGCTCGCCTTCTTTCTTGCCTTTTGCAATATATCGCACAGTCGTGTAGCACATTTTTTATGAAACAAGTCTTCCATTTTAGCATCATTGCAACGGTCCCAGCATACAAGCGACTGACAAAATATACAATTAATAAATTAAACTCAACAATATACATTATAATTAAACTACTACAAAATAAATTACATATCTTACTTTAAACGTGTTGAACCATTCCCTTCTCACGTCTTCTCTTTTATCGCGTTTAAGCTCACTATAATTATAAAAAGTTCCCCGGTAAAGCTTTACTATAACTTTTCTGCACATTTTGGCAACAAGCTCGCTTGGACTTAACCTACAAAACAAAATGTTTGTTAATTAATTACAAATTCATAAATAATACAATTATATGTGCTAGTAATTGCACACGGTATATACTTTCACACACACACTGACGCACACACACACACTAACACACACACATGTTTGTGCAAGAATGGACGGGTCATACTGACGATATCGCTTATTCATCTTAATGTCAACAATATTGTACTCAGTATTAGCTTTTGTGCCACTATTATTTGTTGGATCAAACCAATCACAATAAAATAGAGCAATCTTGTTGCTAAAGCCAATGTATTCAATTGAAGGATATGTTGGATGATGCCATAAAAATCATTTTCTCCTCCATTTGTAAGACCTTCAACATATACCCCACAATTAGTAGTCTTTTTAACATGACTCCATTATTGAGTGTGAAACTTGTACCCATTAACAAAGTATATGTTCCATGATGTTGCCTTCGGATTAGGACCGATAGCTATTGCCTTCAGGTATGGACTAGTTGTTCCATTCCTCTCATCATTCACCTAAAAAATATGTCTAACCTTAGAGATAGTTTATTGTCAATCACATAAAATTTATGAGTATATATATATATATATATATATATATATATATATATATATATATATATATATATATATATATACACACACACAAAATGGTTGACAACAACACAGTTATTTTACAAAAATGTACTTACTCGAGATACAGTTTAACCCCGTCACAATTGATAAGACGTGCACGTGAGCAGACTTCCATTCCTTATCAATCACCCAATAGTCCTGAGATTTTCCACTAGGACGGCCACATTTGCTAAAAACTGAAAGTGTTGGTTGGGAATTCTCATGATCTGGTCGAGGATCATTCCTTAAACTTGTACATGGAAACAAACTAAAGGTCTTGAAATAGTGAGAGAAAACATGAGTAGTTTCACGGTGCAAGTAGGAAGTGCATATTGAACCTTCAACCCTGGCTTTATTTTTCACCGAACGCTTGAAGTCTCCTATCAATCTACACATGAATAGATTAAAATATGTTTTTTCATTAAAATAGTCTACAAAAATTGAACATCATTTACCTTTCAAATGGATACATCCAACGATATTGTACAGGACCACCAAGGATTGCTTGATTAGGTAGGTGAATAGGGAGATGTTCCATTGAGTCAAAGAAACCTGGAGGAAAAATTCTTTCAAGCTTGCATATGATGATGGTAATGTTTTGTTCCAACCTAACAAGGTCTTCCAATTTCAATGTATTACAACACAAGTCTTTGAAAAAACGACTTAACTCAGTTAGCGGCTTTCGTATCTCAGGAGGCAAGGAACAAAAAGCAATTGGAAGCAAACACTCTCAGAATAAATTAAAGCCATGGCTTTTCATCCCCTTCATCCTACCCTTGGTGACATCAGCACACCTAGAAAGATTCGAGGCATAACCATCAGACATTTTTAGTTCCTTAATCCATCTACATACTAACTTTGCCTCTTCGGATGTCAAAGAAAATTTTGCCTTTGGCTTAGCCATCTCTCCATTAGGTAGAGTAACCATCTCTAAATCCCCGTGTAAACAGTTAAGAGGTAAATCCAATCTTGCCTTCTCATTGTCCTTTGTCTTTGTAGGATCATTCATGACAGTGTAAAACATATTATCAAACACATTCGTCTAGAGTGCATCACATCAAAGTTGTGCCTTAACAAGTTGTCCTTCCAATATAGAAGATCCCAAAATATACTTCTTTTGATCCAATTATGTTGTTTCCCATACCCTGGAAATTTGGTGGCCCAATCACTGTCTGTAACTTTTGGAAAATCACGAACTGCAACTCAGACATCATGACCGGTAAACATGTATGGTGGTCTTTTTTTTCTTAATCGTGTTTTTTGTAAATCTCTTTTTACTTTTTCTAAACGAATGATCCATTGGTAAAAACCTACGATGACAATCAAAGCAACAACTTTTTCCACCATATCCTAAGGTGAAAGCATTTGTTCTGCTCATGCAATAAGGGCATGCTAATCTACCTTGTGTCCCCCATCCAGACAACATACCATATGCTGGAAAATCATTGATTGTCCACATTAAATGCGTTCTCATTACAAAATTCTATTGCATAGAGATATCATATGTCACAATGCCATCTCTCCACAAGCACTGCAAATCATCAATCAAAGGTTGCAAGTAGACATCTATTTTAGCTTTCGGATTGTACGATCCAGGTTCAAGACAAGTCAAAAACATATATGGTTTGGTCATGCACATTTCGGGAGGGAGATTGTAGGGTGTGACTATTATCGGCCAACATGAATATGGAGTACTAGAGGCTTGAATGTAAGGGGTAAACCCATCCGTATATAAACCCAATCTTACAATTCTAGGTTCACTAGCATAATCGGGATAAACTTCATCGAAGTGTTTCCATGCTTTTCCATTAGATGGATGACGTAAAACATTTGGATCGTTGGTGTTCTCACGATGCCATCTCATTTGAGCTACAGATTCCTTTGAAGAAAAAATTCGTTGTAACCTAGGAATGATTGAAAAATATAACATTCTCTTCACTGTCACATCTTTGTATTTTCCCATTCCACACTTTCGAGGAACATACCTAGCAGCTCCACAAACTCTACATTGAGTTAAAGTGTTATCTTCTTTAAAATATAATAAGCATCCATTCACACAACAATCAATTTTCTCAACCTCCAATCCTAACTTAGACACCAACTTCTTCACTTGGTAATAGTTTTCAGGTAAGCATCCTTTAGTTGGACAAACATCGATTAGAATTTGAGAGAAAAAATCCATGGCCTTTTGAGGAACATGCCAATTAGACATGGCAGACAACAACTTAACTGAAATAGATAGTCTGGATTCAGAAGCTCCCTCATAAATGGGTTGGTTTGCAGAGATCAACTCATCATAAAATTGTTGAGCTTTTTCATTTGGTACCTCACTTTCACTAACATTTTCGTTTTCCATATCAATATTCACATTAGGGACATTAACAAATGGCCTGAAGACATCAGAGACCATTTCATTCATTGTATCAAATTGTTCTTCATCACCTGTATTATCTCCACCAGCATTCCCGCCGTTACTAGAATGACCATCAAGGTCCACATTTTGAATCTCTTCTCCATGATCAATCCATTTATAATAGTTGGGTAAAAAACCAAATTTGTACAAGTGATGTTTGACCTCATTAGGTGTCTTCAAGAGAATGCAGACACATTTTACACAACGACACCTTATCTCCCCTCATTTAAAATTGTGGTTGATTCATGGCTTTATTGACAAAATCTTCAACTCCATTAACAAATTCATCTTTCAAACCATACCTATCGGAGTTTACTCTATCATACATCCAACTTCGATCTGTTTTCTACATAAAAATATCGATTAATTAAAACAAATATAAAAGATGAGTTAGAAAATGAGTTTTTGCATACTAACTCATGACAAAATGAGTTAGACAGTGAATACAAGAGTACTTTCACCCTTTTTAGCTTAGAGAGAATCTAATACGCCCGTACAACAAGAGTATTTGCACACTTTTTGGATTTCTCAAAAACCTCGGTGGCATTTTGGGTTGTTGAAATTTCAAAAATAAATTGAACCCAAGGCCACTCCTAGGACAATATATACAAAGCATATGAATATAATATCTATAGCCTACTACAATAAGAAAATCATTTCCAATAGTTTCCCTTCTTAAAACCTTAAAAGAATAGTAGTTCAGGATACATTACAGAGTGATTAAGATGCATGAGTTAACCCCATAAAGTTATAAATACTATTCTACAAGTGAAATTTATAAATTTATTTTAATTGAGAAGTTCTCTTAATAAGCTAATTCAAACTTGTTGCTCAAATGTCAAGTATGTGAATATGCTAATTATTTAACTTTAATTAATCATCAAATACATGTATTTTTTCAATTTGGAAATGCATAAAAGACATACATGATGTTCTCCAATCCTTGTCACTTGATAAATCGCTAATTTGGTGATTTGTTCCTGCAAGTTACAAAAATGATTGCTATCACTTTTTGGAGGCATTTCGTTAATATATTTACAAGCTAGATGAAATATATTTACAACTAATATTTAGATCTGCTATCAATTTGCATTCCTTCATCAACAAAAACATCTAATTTATTAATGTAAACAAACAAATACACAATTTCATGATTCCTAGTCTTTCAAGGTATTAATGGTATTTGTTGAAAAACTAAGGAGAAAAAACCAATTTCTTTTTGTTTTTAGAATTCTATATGGACCTTTACCATTTTGATAAACCTTGAATGCACTTATTAACATACTGAAATTTGAGAGTTTTGACTTTTAATAAAAAAAGACATGGGTAAAAATGAGTTTGCTCTAACTCTACATGTGATGATGTCCCTGTAGGAGTTGAGAGGTTTAGCAAGATTGTCAGTGGAGCTGCTGGTATAAGCTACAGAAGGAAAGAGTTTGTCAAAATCCTGCCAAATTACGTTCAACATGGAGGTCTTAGATCATATGGGGTGGATGTAGAATTAACTAACAAGACAAGGAGCAATTTGGCCACTGAAAATCTTGTTGAGGAATGGGAGAGAATGTATGAGAAATGCCCTGGGACTAAAAATGTGGCTGGAAGTGTAGGAATCATTGAGAGATCCATCAAAACCACATCCTAAGTTTAAACTGGTTGCAAAACTAGGAAAGCTTCCATTTCTAAATCCTAGAGTGCGCCGTCATGAGCTTCCCCATCGATTCGAAGATCAAAGAGAAATCCAAAAGGCTAACCTAATATATAACTGAAAATCCATAGCTAAAGCAAAACTGGTTGTTACTTCACTAAATATTAGTATCTCTCTCCTTGTAATTTCAACTACAAAGTACAAAGGTCAACAAATCGAACGTTTCCGCTACTTTCTCAATTTCAACAACAACAACAAAAACCCTCCGATCTCAACCACGGTCAAAACCCCAAAATTCAAAATAAACAAACAAATTCTCAAAATAAAACAATACAAAAATAAACGATGCAGTTAGAACAACAATCGTAGAAAATTGAAACTGCTAAAAATGCAGGAAAGTGACTCTTAGAAAAAATTGAACAATACTGTGTTCACAATCAATGAAAGAACAATGGAAGAACTATAAACAATGATTTCTTTGATGATTTCCTCATTAATTGACCGAATCAAAACGAACAATTGAAAAGACAAATCGAAATGACAAATAGAGAAACAAATCAAACCTGGAAACAATTTCTTTGATGGATTTCTTTATCAATCGAACCTGTAAACAAATCGAACCTTGAAAACATGATGAAACATGGAAGCGATGAGAAACGATTGAAATAAGGAAATAAGATGAAGCGAGCGATTTTAAGAAGCGTAATTTGGATTTTTTTTTGGAATAAGGACTTGAATTATACAAAAAAACACAAGAAATACACAGCGATCGCAAAGATCTAGCCAACCAAAGAACCTAAGGCAACATTAACCCGGAAATCCTATCTTTTAAGATCTTACTATGCTAACCCCTAAAAACAATAGTATCGATAATAGTTTTGGTCACATGACACAAATTCAAACCTGAACCAAAACAAATGTTATTACGATATATCCAAACTCCGTAGATGGTTTCAGCAATGACAAGTTTAATCAAACAAGCTCTCCAACCTTTGCCTTTCCCCCACTTGATGGCCCATTGAAGTTCCTCCTCCCAAGCTTTAGACATATGATAATGCATTTGAAGCCAAACAAGAACTTCACACCAAATCCGCCTAGTAACATCACAATCAAAGAAAAGATGAGAAGTCGTTTCTATACTAGGACATAAACAACACCTATTGTTCGTGATGAAGCCCAAACAACATAACCGACTTTTGGTAGCTAGCTTATTGTGGCAAACCAACCATAAAATTATCTTAGCTTTAGGCCTGGCCGGGTTGTTCTGAAACAGCTTAGCCACGGAATTTGAGGTTTATCAACTATTTCCAGATAACAACCCCTCATGCTAAAGGCACCCTCGGAGATTAACGCATGCCAAAAAGGGAGATGAGAAAGAATGAAGGTTCTTTGATCAAAGACTTTACGCATAATCCACGAGCTAGAAGCTTTAACTTTGGCCTCCATTATGTTACAATCCTTCAAATAGTAAGCATGAATCCACTTCAACCAAAGGCTGTCAGATTTAGCGCATATGTTCCATAACAGATTCAGCATAACACACTTGTTCCAGATGCAAAGATCAATGATCCCCAAACCACCATACTTGGCAGGTTTACAGACTGTAGTCCAAGCAACCAAACTTCTTCTATTAACAGTATTAGAACCAGACCAAACAAATGACCGACACAAACAATCAATCTTCTTGAGGATAGCTTTAAGTAAGGGAAGAACCATAATCCAGAAATTAGCAATAGCAAAAGATATAGATTTTACCAATTGAACACGCCCAGCATAGCTAAGTAATCTAGCAGACCAATGACTCATTCTAGCCATAATCTTATCCACCAAAGGCAAATAATGGTTGCAACTCAGCTTCTTGGAAGATAGAGGAATGCCCAGATAACGAAATGGGAGAGAGCCCTCCTTGAACTTAGCCCAAGTTAAAATCTGATTCTTGGTGCTAGAATCTACAGAACCAAAATAAATTTTACTCTTGCCAATATTGACCACCATACCTGTAGAATTACAAAAAGTAGTGAAGGCATTAAGAAGAAGCTCAACAGAGATTATGTCCCCTCTAACAAAAAGTAAAACATCATCCACAAACATGAGATTAGTCAACTGAAGTTTCTCGCATTTAGAGTGATGGTTGAAGTTTGGATTGATCTGCATAAGAGTTAAGCATCTATGGAGATACTCCATGATAAAGGAGAAGAAGAAAGGAGAAATGGGGTCCCCTTGGCGTATTCCACGCTTAGCCACCAGTAACTCAATAGTATAGCCATTCACAAAGAATCTATAAGATGTGTTAGAAACAGTTGCCATAATCCACTGAATGAAAACATTTGGAATACCAAGTTCCTGCATAATCAGCTCCAGAGCTTTCCAACTTACCATGTCGTACGCTTTTTGCATATCCAGCTGAAGCATAACACGAGGAGGGTCATTCTTCCTATTATACCCCTTTATAAGTTCACAAGCAAGAAGAATATGGTGATGGATCTGTTGCCCAGGAATGAAAGCAGCCTGATTTGGACTGATTATACTACCCATCACTCTGCTTAGTCTTTTGGTCATGATTCTGGAAATGATTTTATAGATGACAGTGCACACAGAGATGGGCCTGTAGTCTTTAATAGAGGAGGCAGACTCTGATTTGGGGATAAGCGAAACAAGATTACAGTTGAAGGCTTTATAGAGCTTTCCTTTATCAAAGAATTCCTTAACAGTAATTATGACTTCACCTTTAACAATATCCCAACTGGCCTTGAAATTTTTTGCAGAATAACCATCTAATCCAGGAGCAGCCAAATCGTTGATTCCTTTCAGCGCAACATAGATCTCATCACTGGAAATTGGAGCCACCAGAGTTTCTCTCTGAGCTTGTTGCAGCTGAGGACCCTGCCTCATAGCCCTAATATCAATAAAATCCATATTTTCATCACTCTTCCCTATGAGAGAACCATAGAACTTCAGGATTTCCTATTCAATCAGATTTTGAGAAGTTATAGTAGAGCCATCATCCATCTGCAACAAGTTCATCACTTTACTAGCTTTCTTAGATTTAATAGACGCATGGAAGAATGCAGTGCAACCATCTCCATCCTTAAGCCATTGGATTTTTGCTCTTTGTCTAAGGATGGATTCCTCAATCTCATTCCACTTTAATAAATCCTCAGTATAGCTCTTCACCCTCCTGATCTTCTCTGCATTCATAAGGTCATTTGCTAACTCTTCCTGAGCATTAGACAGAGAATCCCTAGCTAGAGCAATGTGATGTTTCGAAGCCAGCAGATTCTTATTGAGCTTGTACAGAGTCAGCCTTAGCCTCTTCAGTTTGTGCCATAGAACATAGCTAGGGCAACCATCCATCTGTTTATTCCAACACTCCTTGACAGCATCATTATACCCTGCAGAATCCATAACACAATTAATGAAACGAAATCTTTTTTGAGGCCTAGGAGAAACATCCTGATCAGAGAGGTAAAGCATAGCATGATCAGACACTTGAGGAGGCATAATTTTAAGACTAAAATTCAGATGGTTTCGAAACCAGGCAGGGTTAGCCAGACAATGGTCTATCCTAGAATAAATGGTCCCCACACAGTGTTTATTGGACCAAGTAATATACTCCCCAGTACTATCCATCTCAGCAGGGTCCATCTTCTGCATTAACTCAACAAGATCCTGAAATTCTCCCTCAGAAACCATGGACCCTCCAATTCTGTCTTTATTGTGAAGGACATTGTTGAAATCCCCAACAATACACCAAGGCCCCTGTATGTTTAAACTGCACAAATTCTGCCAAAAGACCTTCCTTTGTTCCAGTTTATTAGAGCCATAGATTTCTGTCAGGTGGAATCTATGGTTCCCAAGGGTATCAGTCACCTCACAATGAATCATCTGGCTAGTTGCAGTCACCAGTTTAACATCAATATTACTCTTGTTCCAGTTGATCCAGATCCTGCCATTGGGATGACAGTTGTAATTGTCTAGAAAGTTATCACCTAGATTCAACAAATTTCTAACTTTATTGGCATGATGGATCTTAACACGAGTTTCCACCAAGATAACTATAGCAGCTCTAAGCTCTAGGAGACGGGAGCTAATCTCCCTGAGCTTAGCAGATTTATTCAGCCCCCTCACATTCCAAGAAGCAAGCATTAGCCAGGATTTTGTAACTCAAGAAGATCATTCAGAATCCCTAAGGCATCAAAACCATTGTCACTTAGAAGATTAACAGGGGACTTAACAAAATTTGGTATCTTACCTAAGTCCTTACCTCTTTTAACTGCATACCATTTTACAACCATTTGTTGATTAGTAGAGTCAGCTAACTCAGCTTCAGGTTCCTCAGGGGGACTATTAAGAACAGGAACCTCAGGTTTAGATTCCACAGGCTTGTTGGTTATAGGTTGCCATTGCTTTGCCTGTACTTTAGGCTTATCACAGTTATGACCCAACTTTTGGCAGCTTTTGCAAAATGCAGGCCTCCATTCAAATTCAACTCGCTGCTCCATTTTGTTTCCAGAATCATCACATATCATGATAGACCTAGGGAGATCTTTTGTGACATCAACTTCTACAAGGATTCTCGCGTATGAGACACGCAGGCGGTTGGCAGTACACTCATCAGTAACAATAGGGTTACCCACTGCACTTCCAATTTTGTTAAGGCTGGTATCTCCCCAGAGATAGATAGGCAACTGGGGAAACTTAACCCATAGAGGAAGGGTGCGCAAAAAATCAGTTTTCAAGTTAAAATCTGGGCGCCATTCACGGATAAGAAGGGACATACATCTGAATGTGTAGGGACCCCTCATAAGGACCTCATCTCTGTCGCTGAAAGATATGAATCTCAGAATGAAATAGCCCTCCTCATTAAAGTAATTGTCTGGAAGTTAATTAATTAAATATTAATTTATATTTAAAATATCTTTTAGATTGTTTATATCTTTCTTAGAAGATATATATCTTAGATCTTCTTATATTTTTGTTATAAGATATATTTTAGATTTAAGTTTATGTATAAATAGTCTAGTGAAGTAAGTTATTGTAATTCATTGTAAATCCTTATTTTAAAGTTGTCAGTAAATATTCCTTTTGCCTTTCATCTCTTCTTTGTGCACCAACAATTGATATATAGAGTTTCTGGTTAGAAACTCTGGAATTTGGAAAACATTGTTTTCATTGAGTTTCTGCATAAATTGCATAAGGTAGAAGATGAACGGAAACAACGGTGTTATCCATTCCAAGCTTCCAGTATTTGATGGCAAAAACTAGAATCGTTGGAAGATCCAGATGCGCGTGTTATTTGATTCTCAAGATGTGTTAGATCTTGTCACCGATGGCTATAATCTGTTGGAAGCAGACACAATAGAGGCACAAAAGATAGTCTAGAAGGCGCCGAGGAAGAAAGATCAGAAGGCGTTGTTCTACATCCATCAATATGTAGATGTGAATGTGTTTGAGAAGATTGTTGATTCTGAAACAACGAACGCTGCATGGTACACACTGGTCAGATGTTACGATGGTGACGCGTCAGTGAAGAATGTGAAGATTCAGTCTCTCAGAAAGCAATATGAGAATCTCAACATGAAGGACAACGAGAAGGTTTCTAAATACATCTCTAGAGTGATTATGATCACTAATGAGGTGAAAGCTTGTGGAGAAACTCTGTCTGAACAAGTAATTATTGAGAAGATCTTGAGATCTTTAACTTCTTAGTTTGATTACATTGTGGTAGCAATTGAACATTCCAAAGATCTGAGCACCATGAGAGTTGAAGAGCTGCAAAGTAGTCTAGAGGTGCATGAGTTGCGTATGACTGCAAGAACTTCTGAGAGGGAAGTAGAGCAGCAACCTCTGAAAGTAACTTCTGATAAGAAGCACCAGAAGCAGACTTGGTCAGAAGCCAAGAAGAAAACTAATGGTGGTCAAAGGTCAAAAGCTTCAAACTCTGATAGGCAGAAGAATGTCCAGAAGGGAAAGGAGAATTCTGACTAGAAGAATGTTTAGTGTTATTGTTACAAGAACTTTGGTCACTATGCTAAAGATTGTTGGTCAAACAAAGAAAGGAAGTCAGAAGAAGCAAATGTAGCCAGAGGAGATTCAGATGATGAACATGTGTTATTTATGGCTTATGAATCTGATGAGGAACCAGTGAAATTGTCATTTTCTGATTCTGAAGGGGAAGAAGAATATGACTCTAAATATTTTGATTCTGAAGGAGTGATTTTGTATGAGTCAGAATCAGAATATGACTATGAGTTAGAATCAGAAGATGACGCTAAAGATTTTGAAGATGAGTCAGAATCTGAGGTTTCTGAAGACGAGTTAGAGTCAGAAGATGACTCTGAAGCTGAAGACAAGTTAGAATCTGAAGGTGATTCTGAGTTTGAAGAAGATTCTGCTTCTGAAGAAGAGTCAAAAGATGATGACTCTGAAAACTCTGAAGGTGAGTCACATGGTAAATCTGATTCTAATCCAGAATTTGGTGGTGATCATGCTTCTAGAAGGGAAAACTCTAAAGACGTAGGTTCTGGAGGACAAACTTCTAAAGATGATCGTGTTTCTCATGGAAATCATGACTCTAAGGACATACCTTCTGAAGGAGGAGCTTCTGAAGAAAATTCAGCCTTTAACGGTGATCATGATTCTGAAAGTAGAACTTCTGAAGGTATAGGTGATCCAACTTTTGAAGATGGTATTTCTGAAGGTAGTGACTCTGACTCCGATGGTGATCCAGACTCTGAAGACAGTCAAGGTTCTGAAGAAAGTCCAAATTTTTCAACAAGTGCTTCTGAAGGGGAAATTTCTGGTGTCCAAAGTTCTGAAGGTCTAGTTCAGAGGCAACAAAGAGTCAGAAGCTTCCCAAGAAGATTTATAGAGTTTGACATGTTGCAAGACACTGAAGTAGCCTCTGAAAGAGAAGTTATTCAGTATGCAATGTTAGTAGACTCTGAACCCGTAAGTACAGAATAGGCTCTTAAGCAACAAGTTTGATTACAGGCCATGAAAGAAGAACTTGATGCTATAGAGAGAAATAAGACTTAGAAGCTAACAAAACTTCCAAAAGGCAAGAAAGCCATCAGCATCAGATGGGTTTTCAAGCAGAAGCTAAAGCCACATGGATCAATTGGAAAACACAAAGAAAGATTAGTAGCAAGAGGCTTTCTACATAAGCCTGGGCTGGATTACTTTGAAGTGTTTACACCTGTAGCGAGACATGAAACAATCAGACTAGTGATTGCAATAGTTGCTAACAGGAATTGGCCTATGATGCATTTAGTTGTAAAATATGCATTTTTGAATGGTCCATTACAAGAAGAGGTGTACGTTTCACAACCTCTTGGATTTGAGAAAAAGAACCAGGAAGGGATGGTGCTCAAATTATACAAAGCATTGTATGGATTGAAGCAAGCGCCCAGAGCTCGGAATTTGAAGATTGATTCATTTTTCAAGGAACAAGGGTTTCAGAAGTGTGAGATGGAGTGTGGTGTTTATGTTCAGCACACTTCAGAAGGTAATGTGATTTTGGTCTATTTGTATGTTGATGACATATTACTCACAGGAAGTTATGAATAAGAGATAACTAAGTTCAAGAAAGTTCTGATGAATGCATTTGAGATGACAGATCTTGGGAAAATGAGTTTCTTTCTAAGGATGGAGTTTATGTACTCTGAGAAAGGAATCATTTTGCATCAGATGAAGTATGAACTAGAGCTTCTGAAGAGATTTGAGCTAGAGAATTGCAAGGTTTCTATCACACCTGCTGATACGAATCAGAAGTACTCTGATTCTGATGGAGAGGATGTGGATGCTACGACCTTCAAACAAATGGTTGGTTCTCTGAGGTATTTGTGTAATACCAGACCTGATATTTGCTATGCAGTTGGAATGGTTAGCTATTTATGAGAAAACCAAAGTGGTCTCATTACCAACCTGCAGTCAAGATTCTGAGGTATGTGAAGGGAACTTTGAAATATGGAGTGTTATTTCCGTCTGGAAGAAAGATCGAATCAGAACTTATGAGTTATTCTTATTCTGATTGGTGCGGAGATAAAGTTGACAGAAGAAGTACTTTTGGTTACTTATTTAAATTTCTAGAAGGTCATATTTCTTGGTGTTCCAAGAAGTAACATGTTGTTGCTCTGTCAACTTGTGAAGCTGAATATATTGCAGGCGCTCTGACTGCATGTCAAGTTGTGTAGATTCTGAATTTGCTGAAAGATCTGAAGATTGAGGTAAATAAACCTCTGAAGCTGATGATTGATAACAAGTCTGCAATCAATTTTGCCAAGAATCCAGTGTTGCATGGGAGAAGCAAGCATATTGAAACTAAGTATCATTTTCCGAGGAATCAAGTTCAAAATGGAATATTAGAAGTTGTGCACTATAGCACCCAGAAGCAGCTGGCAGGTATTCTGACAAAGGTTGTTAAAACTGATCAATTTCTTGGTTTAAGGGATGGAATTGGTGTTGTCAGTTTTGGGTAAATATAAATTAAGGGATGATGTTATAATTAATTTAGATTTTATAATTAATTAGATATTAATTTATATTTAGGAATATCTTTTAGATTATTTATATCTTTGTTAGAAGATATATATCTTAGATCTTCTTATATCTTTGTTAGAAGATATATTTTAGATTTAAGTTTGTGTATAAATAGCCTAGTGAAGTAGGTTATTATAATTCATTGTAAATCCTTATTTTGAAGCTCCCAGTAAATATTCCTTTTGTCTTTTATCTCTTCTTTGTGCACCAACAATTTTAACCTGAAAACAAAGGAATCGATTTTGAGAATCGATTTTGAGAAGCGATGTTGAAAACAAAGTTGTGATGTTGAGAAGCCAAGGAAGAGGGCAAAACCTGGAAGTGACTGTCATAAGCAATTTTGTCTTTTGTTTTGGAAAAGATAGGAAAATGACTTTTTCTTTTGTTTTTAATTATAATTTTATTTAGTTTTATTTTATAATTCTAATTATATTAATATTATTTTACTAAATAAATTTTAATTCAATTTTATTTTTATTTAATAAATTAGATTTTAATTGAATTTTAATTTTGTTTTATTAATTAATGTCAAAATTTTATTTAATTTTATTAATTTATAATATTGATTTTATTTTATAAATTTGAATTTAATATATTTTTGATTTTATTTTATTAATTTTAAATTTTTATTTTATAAATTAAGTTTTTGTTATAATTTATAGTTTTATTTGTTTTTTTAATTTATAGTTAAAACAAATTAAATAACAACTTTTTTAAAACAATAAAAAATGAACCAAATTGGTGGGAAAAATAAAATATTTTGGTGTCAATCATAGCGTCGGCCAGCACTGTCGCTAATATTAAAAATAAATAGTTATTTAATATAATATATAAAAAGGAGGCAAACGAAATTAGTGGGGGAAATGAAATATTTTGATGTCAATCATAGCGTCGGTCAGTACCGTCGCTAGTATTAAAAATAAATATTTATTTAATATAATATATAATAAAGGAGCCAAACGAAATTGGTGAGAGAAATGAAATATTTTGGTGTCAATTATAGCGCCTGCCAGCACCATCACCAATATTAAAAATAAATAGTTATTTAATACAATATAGGGTTAAATAAGTTTTTGGTCCCTCTAAATATCTCAAATTTCGTTTTTAGTCCTTCTAAATTTTTCCTTCAAAGAATGGTCCTCCTAAAAAATTAAATTTTAACTTTTGGTCCCTCGTGACAAAATCGTAGCTAAAATGGTCTCTAATTCCGTCACTAAATAAAAACTGTCGCTAAAACCGTCGCTAAGTTGTAAAACCGTCGCTAAATTGCATGAGGGACCAAAAGTTAAACTTTAATTTTTTAGGAGGACCATTCTTTGAAGGAAAATTTTAAAGGAACTAAAAACGAAATTTGAGATATTTAGAGGGATCTAAAACTTATTTAAGCCTACAATATATAAAAAGGAGGCAAATAAAATTGGTGGAGGAAATTAAATATTTTGATGCCAATCTTAGCATCGGCCAATACCGTCACTAATTTTAAAAATAAATAGTTATTTAATACAGTATATAAAAGGGAGGCAAATAAAATGGGGGAATGTAATATTTTGATGTCAATCTCAGCGTCGGCCATAATCGTCACTAATATTAAAAATAAATAATTATTTAATACAGTATATAAAAAGGAGGAAAACGAAATTGGTGGGGGAAATGAAATATTTTGGTGTCAATTATAGTGTCGATCATGCCGACACTAAGGTTAATCTGATAATAAAAAAATTAAGTCACATGATTTTATTCAATTAGTGTCGGTTTTAAACGATGTTTAGGTGACGCTAATAGCGTCAGTGTCGGGGCTGCCGCTAAAATGTTGCAGCTAAAATATGTTTTTCTTGTAGTGATTATTGCTTCTACTTCTGTTCTTCAGCCTCAGATTTATGTTGTGGTGACTACCACAGAGGTATTCAAAATTGTTGTCCTAGTTTCAGCTTCTAAAATGGGTCAGACGGCTACTACCACAGCTGATTTATCTGCTCGGGGACCTTCAACTTCTCATTCCCCTGCCAAGAGGGTTAGGGTGATAATACGTCCACTCCCATTGGTATAGGTACTCCTAAACGGGCTCTCTTGGAGGAGGGTGTCGAGTAGAATGTTATAACTCATTTCTGTTGGCTTCCTGTTATTCTACCTTTACGGGTACCTAGCAAGCTGAAGGAGTTTACTCCAACCACGACTGCTGAGAACTTGAATTTTTTCTAGTGTTTATCTGTGACTAACATGTGGAGCCTTTTTGCAGATGCTTCTCGTAGTTTGTTCCAATTCGCGTCTGTTGTACCCCAAAATTTGCCCTATCATGTTTTCCAAAGTCTTCCCCCTGCATGGTTGACCAGAAACCCTTGCCTAAGAAAAAAGAAAATTTTTGAGTGGTGCTTTAAGTACCTTTTGATTGGCATTCTGAAAGACCCTTCGATTGGTATTCTGAAGGAGCCTTTCGATTGGCATGGATAATTCCCTTCGATTGGCATTATGGACAAGCACTTCGATTGGCATTGTGTCAAGACCCTTCGATTGGTATTCTGAAGGAGCCTTTCGATTGGCATGGATAATTCCCTTCGATTGGCATTATGGACAAGCACTTCAATTGGCATTGTGTCAAGGCCTTCGATTGGAATTCTGAAAGACCTTTTCGTTTGGCACCCTGAGCCAAGCCTTTCAATTGGCATGCCACGGGATCCTTCGATTTAGCATTGTGTCAAGGCAGTTTCGACAGACATGTTAACCATGTCCTTCAATTAGCATGAACAACACCTTTCGATTGGCCTGTTAAAAAAGCCTTTCGATTGGAATTTTAACAAGTACCCTTTGATTGGTATATGGACAAATACCCTTTAATTGGCATTTCAAAAGGTCCTTGGACTGGAACTTCAGAGTGTCCTTCGACTGGAACTTCAGAGTTTCCCTTAATAAGAACATCAGAACGAAATGACCTTCGAATGGCATTTCAGTGCAGAGTTTCCCTTAATCTAATATGCTCTGATGAAGGAAGTTCTGAACACTTCGAATCAGAACTTAGACTAATCACAAGGCCAAGGGATGGCCGAAGTTGTCTAATAGGGAATGTTCTAAATAGATTCGAATTGGACTTTGAAGCTGGCAAAGAAGGCCCATTCGAAGGGCCATTCGAAGGACACACAACTGGTGAAAACGAATGCTGTGTTGTTCTAGTCTGGTCGAAAGGTGTAGAAAGATGGAGGATTCGACTCAAAAGATCAAGTTGAACATTCAGACCCATAGGCTAGGCCACGTGTCTTCCCTTTTTAGGCTTGTACCCATTTGTTGTCTAAGACCACTTGCACTTAATAGCACAATACCACCTTTTAGAAGAGTCTGTCTTGAACCTTGCGCCTATTTTCCTTCAGAATGAAGCAACCCTATCTGAACCATTCATCTTGCTTTTGTGGCACAAGTGGACATTTACTTTCCAGCTGGGAATATTTTATTATTTTCTGCACCCCAACTGCCAACAGGCCCCCCACATGTACTGTCACGTTATCCATTATTTTATTATTTTTGCAAGGCTGGCTGTTGAAGACATGTCCATTCTTTTTCTCTATAAATAGAGGAATTTATGCAAAGCTGAGAGAGGATTTTTGGACCAGAAGAAAAATATCCCAAATTTTCTCAAACAAATCTCTCAAGTCCCTTCAACACTTGTGAGAACATACCCAGAATCCAAACAACAAATCCAGAACTGCATCCACCTGCCAAACACCAGAACATCAAACCTGTGTTACAAATACAAGCCTAAGGCACAACAAGCCTTGAGGCCTGCATAACCTCAAAACCTGCCTTCCTTACCAAAGCCAGAAAACTCAAGCCAGTTCAACTGCAACTGCAAACAAACCTGCCTAAAGCCAGTCCAACTGCAACTGCAAGCAAGCATGTATCAAAACTAACAAAAACTCAGACCTGCCTGTATCAAAACTAACAAAAACTCAGACCTGTCTGTATCAAACCAAAGAGCAAACACTTATCCCCTTAGAATCTGAAACATCTCTATACCTTGTTACCCTTTGAATCCAGTAGGAAGAACCTTACACTTATCCAGTATCAAAGACATAACTCCTGGTTCCTCCCTTCGAATCTAGAAGCATTCAAGGAAACCACTTAAAGGCCCAGCACACGTTCCAGCCACAAGCAAGGTAAGTCATTCTTAACCTTGAACCCTTCATTTCTAGCGTAACATGTAAATAAGCTTCCTTTTCGTTTCAAACATGTACATAGTGTTTGTTACCTTTTCGTTTCTACTCTTTTAGTTTGTTTTTATTGTCTCTCCTTTTGGTTTTGTTCTATGGTTTGTTACAAATGCTCTAAGAACTAACCTGGCCCTGAGGTAATGATAGCATGGCCTTGGCCCATGTTGCTATTTAATATCTCAAACGAAATAAACAAAAGACAAGAGTATGAAACGAAGCCCCAGGCTTCCTCACTGACTCCAGACCCAATCGAAGGAGACAGAAAGGCAGATTGCATCTTGCACAGATTCCAGGCCCAATCGAAGAAGGCAACAAGGCAGAAAGGCCCAGCCAGAGGCACCCTTGCACTAAGTCCAGGCTCAGACGAAAGGCACTCCCATGCTGGTGCCAGCCTCCAATCGAAGTACATGACCTGACTGGTGCCAAAGCCCAGTCGAAGTACATGACCTGACTGGTGCCAAAGCCCAATCGAAGTCCATGACCTGACTGGTGCCAAAGCCTAATCGAAAGACGTGACTTTGTTGTTGCCAGCCCCAATCGAAGGAGGCCAACAGAATGCAAATCGAAGGGTGATCCTGCCTCGGTCGAAGAGCTCATTTTCCTTTCTTTTATTTTGTTTTGCCTTTACATTTTCTTGCCTTTCAATATGGTTGTAATAGTGTAGGATATTTATTTCCTGCATTTTTATTGCTTTGTGCAAATACTAGTAATTAGATGTGTATGGCAAGATAAAATCAACAAGTAGACAACACAAAAATCAAAGAGAAAATGCATGCAATCAAACACACTTGCACACACGCATCCTTAGGGTAATTCCACTTGTTGCCTTACAAAAATGGCCATGTTATGCATGTGGGATGTCTTAGCATAAACGAATTGAAAAAAGATCATAGTCCCTCGATGACGCTATCAAAATTGCCTTTCAAAATGATCTTAGTCCCTACAGAAAAGTGCTAAGTCATTTCACAACATTGCTATCATGGTCATACGATGACCCGCGCCTGTCCCGTTAACATCCTAACACAAGGTTGTTCACCAAATACAATGGTGAAACAACACTGTTAAAAGGGTTAAAAACATAAGAAAGATCTTTGAGTAAAATAGGGTAGACAACTCTTAGTTACTTGATCAAAAATCTTGCAAAACATCCTTGCTATTTTTCAAAACACACTCCACAACACAATTTCAAAACAACTTTCAAAACATTGAAAACCTTTCAAAAAGAAATACACCTTTGTATACATTCAAACCAGAATCATTACAAAGGTTGCCTAGACAAGGCATCTTTTTCAAAACATTTTCAAAACCACACACACAAAGCACCATTTCAAACAATTGAAAAACAAAGGCAAGTGATCTAAAACAAGTAACTAAGAGCCCATGGATAACCATGGATAGAAAGGGTGCTAATACCTTCCCTTTTTATAATCCACCCCCCGAACCCACGAAAACATCTCAAAGGTCTTTCCTGTGCTTTTTGACCTTTCCTTAGGATAAAATAAAAAGCCGGTGGCAACTCTTGCTAAACCGAAACATTTGCGAACACAAACGCAAACCTCAAGTCAGTTCTCCCACCATATTACAGAACTGGCGACTCTGCTGGGGAGTATTTCTAAAAGTGGGGTTACCTTAGGGTTTTTAGATCACCTATACATGCTTACTTTGATTGTTTTGATTGCTTTACTTTTTGGGTTCCTTATTTGGGTTTGTTGTAAATCCTACACCCGGATTTGGGGGCACCTTTTTAGGTAAATAGAAATAAACTGTGAGGGAACTGTGCGGGGTATACCGACATGGTTGAAGCAGTAGCTATGTTAGTGTGACATATTTGTGGGTACCGGTAGCCCTTGAGTAGTCAAGGAGAATACGGGGCCGCTGAGCCATGTCATGAAGCACTAACGAACTCTTAGAACCTTACTTGACCATCTTGGCCTTTTTAGGGGTAGTGAGGTGACCGACTTTAGTGCAATCCGAAGTTGGTAGATACTCGATACTACACTCATTGAGGATTGTTTTCTTGGGATATTTTGGTCGCCAGTTAAGTGGCTAAACCAAAACAATGAACATAGAAAATAATCCAGTGATATTGAGCTCCTTAGAACCCGGTTTCTATTTTAGGACAGGTTGAGCCAACTAACTTCAAGAGGGTACTTACCTACAAACCCCATGCAAGCCTAAACCTAAGGACTTGTTTGCTTTGTGTGAATATGATTACCTGTATATACACTTGCTTACTTTTGCATACATGTACATAACATCATAACATCATACCATAACATTTTCAATAACCATTTCAAGGATCTCGAGGGTCTTTTGATGCAGGGTCACGTTGAACCAGACGTCTACCAAAGGGAAAGAGGTTTCATTTTCCTCTAAACAAACACCGTCAAAGATCAAATACAACAACTTGAATCAGGGGCTATGACCCACTTGACATGGTGAGCTTAATTCTCGTGGAAAGACATCCACCGATACAGGGTTCTCCAATCAAAGATGTTGATCAAAATTCAACCTCTAACATTTTTCTTGTGTTTACCCCGCGAGATCCTTGAAAACATGCATCCACATATCATGCATCATATCATGACAGGTTTCTCCCACACAGGTCTCCTTATCTTCCTACTGTTTATTTCAGTAGAGATGGCTCTAGAGCAGACTATCAAGGACATCCAGGCTCAAAACTCTCAACTTCAAGAGATGTTCTTGAACCTATCCAAGGGACAAGAAGAGGTCAAGGCGCTCCTCACCAGGGGCATGATCGTGGGAAATCCTGGGGACGGCAGAGATGAGCAGTTGGAGTGGTTACAAATGAAGGTCCAAATGATGGGGCAACTGCTGAGCCAGATGGCTC